AAGCCCTTTGCATATCTGCGGTGTATTTTATCTCCCGAAACAAAATAGGGTGACAAGATACGTAACGTCGTTTATGTGCTGGCTAACGGGCCTCTCACATCGAGGGGGCGAGGACCAGAAAGCTACCCGAGTCAAGGAAGGAAAAAAGGGGCAGCAATAGTAACCGCCAAGGATTGCAATGGGGTGAGGGCTGGAAATTGGGGTGTTTGTGTGTGTGTGTGTGTGTGTGTGTGTTTTCGGATGCTGCCATTTTGTTCCCTCCCAGATGCTTCATCCCTGGCGCAACCAGCGGCTGAAGCCAGCTGGCCAATGGCAAGCTCTCTACTGCCCTCCCGTGAAGTTCAGGCGTTGCAAGAAGTGGTGGAGTAAATAGTTCATTTGGGGCTGAGAAGGTTGTGCGAACGCAGCTACACGGGCTTTGGGAAGCTGGAGAAGGGTTTTCTTTTGAGGGCAGCCCTTGGTGGGTGATTCCTTTAGGAAAATGGCTTTAAGACCCGATCATGCATTTTAGGGACTGTTGGGGGGCGGGGAATTCCATTACACTGCCCGGGGCTGTATAAAAAGGAGATAAAGAGGATATAAATGCTGGAATGACTGACTCTGCATAGCACAGCTTGCATTAGCTGGATGTGTGAACCAGGACACCCAACTATATATATAGGAGAGAGAGAGAAGGAGAAAGAGAAAGAGAGAGAAGGAGAAACAGGGGGCAATAGAGTGGGAGAGAGAAAGAAGGAGAAACAGAGTAACGGGGAGAGAAGGAGAAAGAGAAGGAGAGAGAGAAACAGAAAGAGCATCTGTGTTGGGGAAAAAATGGGATGATGGATAGACAGATCATAGATATAGATGTGTTGGAGAAAAATAAAGGATGATGGATAATTATAGATAGATATAAATATACACAGTCAATAAACTGAACATAGAAAAATAGATGATAGATAGATACGCTGCTGATAGATAGATAGACAGACAGACAGACAGACAGCTGATAGATAGATAGATAGATAGATAGATAGATGATAGATAGATAGGAGAAAAATGATGGATGATGGATGGATGGATGGATATAGATAGGAGAAAAATGATGGATGATGGATGGATGGATGGATGGATAGATAGGAGAAAAATGATGGATGGATGGATAAATATAGAAATAATGGATAGATAGATAGGTATAGATAGGGCTCCTCTTAACTTTTTAGTTGGGTGGTAGAGTGGTAGAGTGGTTAAGGCAGCCAACTAGGAGTTCTAATCCAAACTTTAGGCACAAAGCCAGCTGGATGACCTTAGGCCAGCCCTTCTCTCTCAGCCCTAGGAAGGAGGCAAAGACTGACTGGGGAATTCTGGGAGTTGGAAGTCCACAGGCCTTAAAGTCAGCAAGGCTCAACACTCCTGCGCTACAGCATCGCAGCAAAAAGCTATTTTTTATTTATTTATTACGCAAGTCGCAATAGTTATTCCCCCGCAAGGCATGTGAACAAGGAACGCTCTGGGCCAGATGGGACTCTTTCCAAGCTACGCGGTTTGGCCCCGTGCAACCCCGCACACAGCACACACACACACACACACACACACACACCAACCTCTTTTATCCCTCCCTCCAAATGCAGAGCCCTTAATCTTCCTCTCCAACAGCTGACCCGGATTAACGACTCTCCCCGCATTCCCCACATCTGCCCACGCCCCGGCCAAGGCCGCCCCCCCCCAAGCCCTGCATTTCCTGCCAGCTTCGGTCCCCGGCTATCCATCACCCGCCAACCTTGTGTTGCGCGATGGCTCCGGCCCCGGGTTGCCAGGCAACGGGCGCCAGGGGAAATCGGAGAAGCGCTGACAAACAAGCCAAGAGACTGCAAACCAGGGTTTCTCTCTTGTCCTTTGCTTTTTTGGGGGGGGGGGGGGGGGGCCAACCCAGGGACTAAAACACAAACCAAGATCCCCCAAACCAGGATCCCCCCCCCAAAAAAAGCCAGGCATGCATTTTGTGCCGGGGGGGGGGCACCAGAGGGTTTGAGATGCCTGCTCTCGTCCTTCCTCTTTTTAAAGGAGGTTGCAACCTTCTGCAGGTACTTCCTCGGGAGTAAACCCAACTGAATGTGGTAGGGGCTGGGGGCTGTGGCTTTAGGAGTCTCCCACCCTTGGGAGCTGCCAAAGGACAGGAACTAATAGCCTTACAAGGTGGCATCTGAGGATAACCTAACCCCCCCCCAGGAAGAAAGATTTACACAGATAAGACTAAGAGATTAAGACAAGAAGGGCATTGTTGGTTTGCTTCTTGATTCCTCTCTCACCACCCTTCCCCCCCCCCAATGGAAGCATTGGTCCAAATTTTGTACGGTTCCCCTGTTGAATCGCCTAGGAATAAATCTTTACTCCCATTAAGCGAGCTGAAAAAATAGGTGCTTTAAAAAGCCACCTGACAAAGGAACGGAGATAAGGCGATAGCAAAAGTCCATCTGCTCTCAAATCATATCAATTCCCCCCATCCATTCGCCAAAAATATAAATATCTTCCCCAGGGCTCAGCAGTCTTGAGAATACGCCGAAAGCTGAGCTCCGTTAAAGTTGCCTAATGCAGAAAAATAATCCATGCCTGATGAAGCTTTTTTTCCCCCCTTTTTTTAAAAGATCCCACTTAAATCTTTTCTTAGCATGAAAGAAGCACACACGCACAACTCCAGGCTTAAATGTGGAGTGATCCGGTGTCAACGCCAGCGAACCCTGCGCACTGCAGTCATCCAGGAGCCGCCAAGATCTCCTATCGTGGACTCGACCGCCAAGCCATTCTAAAATAAAATCAGATATTTTTTTTTTCAAACCTCCCCTTAAGATGATATATTAGATCATCACCCTGCTCCGCGGGTTTTAGGTTCCCCGCAAACTGGATTAAGTGCGTTGCTTTTATGCAGCTATGTTTTGATCCTCAGAGATGGAGACTTCAAAACTGAGATTTACGGAAGCAGAAGCAGAAGGACGGGACGCCGGAGAAAGTGCTAAGTATAGAAGCTGGAGGAATAAGAAACATGTGTGGAGTGAAAGCTGGATTTCAGAAGGAGCAGCTGTCCCACGGCCAGATTTTCCAAGCAACAGATATTCTTCTCCCTTGGCTCCCAGGCTATGATTTATGCCCATTGGTCTCCAGCTGATGGTGTCCTCCTGCACGGGAGGGTCTTCTACTGGCCTTCAACCAGGGGTGGGATTCTACCTGGTTCTACAGAACCGGTGTCAACTACAAAGATACTCCTTTGGTCTTTTTAGCTGCCAGAAAAAAGGGAGTGGGGGAAAACAAGGCATTCTTGAAATGCCTAGATAATCAACTCGGCAGCCCAAAGTTGTTGGAGCATAAGAAGGTTATTGGAGAGCACGATGGATGACTCTTGGAGAGGGATGTGTCCTATTGGAGAAGTCACATCCAGGGGGTGGGGGAAAGACCAGGGTCAAGGGGGAAAGATCCTCAAAGATCAAAAGGAAGAGATGCATCCATCATCTTCCACCAGTGTTAAGTCACATCCAAGTTAAGCTTCCCAAAGACGCCAGAACCGCAACAGTCAATGAATGGGCCGGGTCAAACAGGGCGGCCATGCCACAGCTGGGGCAGGAAGATGCAAAAGTGGCGACAGACAACTCCAAGCGAGTTTGCTTCTGCCTCACAGCAACCAGGAGAGGCCGCTTCAAACACTGATAGGAGATCCTCTATACTTTTCTCAGTGACGTCCGCCGTGAGAGAATAAAGGTCCATTGTTTCGGTCAACGGGTAGCAAAACCCAAGGTCCAAATTCTCTTGGTTGTCTGAATACCATTACTTGCTAATTTCCAAGGCTTCCCCAAGTTTTTAAATAGCTCCTTTTCCCCCCTGTCTCTACCCAACTCTGCACTCTCAAAAGTTGCATGTTTGTTACTGACTTTTTGAAGTCTGTTCCTTGAAGGTCATGGCATATCCCTGAAGGGAACTCTGGGGGGGGAAAAAAGATTTATTCTGTCTCTAAATCTCAACAACAACAACTTATCCAAGACCTCGATGAAGTGAGACTGTTTCTAATGTACTATCAGCTACTCTCAAGGAGAAAGCTGTTCAGGAGAAGAATTCAATCTACCAGCAAGTAGTAGACAGGTTGTTGCATTCATATAAGAACCCACCCACCCACCCCCTAGTTAAGGAGGAGGAGAAGAAAGGAGGAAGAAGAGGAGGAGGAGAGAGGAGAAAGAGAAGGAGGAGGTGGAGAAGAGAAAGAGGAGAGGAGGAGGAAGAAGGAGAAGAGAGGAGGAGGAGGAGGAGGAAGAGGACAGGGGAAGGAAGGAGGAGGAGGAGGAAGAGAGGAGGAAGAAGGAGAAGACACAGAAGGAAGAGGAGGGGGAGAAGGAAGGAGGAGGAGAAAGAGAAAGAAGGTGGAGAAGAGAAAAAGGAGAGGAAGAGGAAGGAGGAGAAGAAGGAGGAGGAAAAAGAAGAGGGGGAGAAGGAAGGAGGAACGGAAGAGGAGGAGGAAAAAGAGAAGGAGGAGGTGGAGAAAAGGAAGGAGGGAGAGGAGGAGGGAGAATAGAAAGGAGGAAGGGAAGGAAAAGAAAGCGAAAGAAAAGGAGAGGAGGAGAGGGATCACCAGATCCATGGGTAGTTTTACAATTATTTGGCTACTTGGTTAACAACCAGAAACGCTGCATTTCAGGATTGGGACCCTGTGCGTTCAAAACAGTTCACAGACAAGTTATGGATGTTGGCCGTAACCTTGAGAGACGCTGCAGGAATTTTGCTCTGGAAGAAAACATGGGATGCGATCCAAATCCCAGCAAACCACTGGAAGAAAACAAACCGACTGTCCTTAAGCAAAACCCAACAGTAAAATAAAGTAAAAAAAAATAAAAAAATAAGGGGCTCTTTCTTATAACCCAACTTAAAACCAACCTTTTAAAAAAAACAAAAAAACTGCTCCCAAAAAGAAATGTATAAAGCAACTCTTGACAAACGAGCGAAAACTTCAAGGCCATCGCTGCGGAGAAGACAAATTGCAGCGCATTTTTCTGGGCTTCATCAGAGCATCTTTAAGGCCTACACAGGACTTGTCCCAACTTGCAGGTTAACTGGAAAAAAACAAAACTCTTTGTCTTTGGGGTTTTTTTTCAACCTTGCGTTCCTCCCAACGCAACTCACACGAGTTTCTCAGCTCCTAAAAAAAGTACCAGTCTCGCTTTGCTCTTGTGGGTTTAGGAAAGAAGCTCATTTCCAAAACACGTCTTGAAATGGAAGCGTCAGAGGAAGCGGGAGGGGGAAAAAAAACAAAACCCAACACCCTATTCTGTCAATGTGCCTCTTTTCCAGCCGCTTTTGCACGCCTCCCTGATTCCAATTCATAACTTGAAACGTGGGATTTGAGAGGCTGAAATGATTCCGAGCCGGCCAAGAGGAAAAAGCGTGGGGAAGAGAGAGAGGCTGGGCTGGCTATTCTTAAATGCAGAAGCTCTGGCGTGACCAATATCACCCAGCAGTGCCTGTAAGCAAGATGATCCACCTCAACGGGGAGAAGAAGGACGGGGATTGAGAAATTGCAACGGATACCCAGCAGCCAAGAAGCCAAATGGAACAGGAGAAGCACAGAAATCTGGATCCCAAGAGAGGGGGGAAAAAAATATTGGCCGCCCGTCTTTTGGACCTCACGAGATCCAAAAAAAGTCACCAGCATCTTCTCTCCGTGGTCCAGTTTTCTTGGAATCTCCATACTTTTCGCGATGTCAGATAGGTGTACTCAGAAGACCATCATCCTATGAATCCAAGGAAGAGGAATTCCCAAGCCCATGGGTTGAAGACTGCAGCTCTTTATATAGCAATAGCACTTTAGAATAGAGTAGAATAACAGAGTTGGAAGGGACCTTGGAGGTCTTCTAGTCCAACCCCCTGCCTAGGTAGGAAACCCTACACCACTTCAGGCAAAGGGTTATCCAACATCTTTTAAAAAACTTCCAGGGTTGGAGCATTTACAGCTTCCTGAGGCAGGTTGTTCCACTGATTCATTGTTCTTCCTGGTAGGAAATTCCTCCTTAGTTCTAGGTTGCTTCTCTCCTCGATTAGTTTCCATCCGTTGCTTCTTGTCTCTCTCTCTCTCTCTCTCTAGCTTGACTCCCTCTTCTTTGGGGCAGCCCCTGAGATATTGGAAGACTGCTATCATGTATCCCCTGGTCTTTTCAACAGATTAGATATACAAGGCCCCTCATCTGAGTCCTCGCTCTCCGGAGGAGGAGGAGGAGGAGGAGGAGGAGGAGGAGGAGGAGGAGGAGG